TTTAATGTAGTTTTGTTTTCAGAATCTAAAGCAACACATGTTTATTGAGCATATATCATATGCAAATTTAAATTAAGTTTTCTGGTTTCTTTGCAATATATTTCAAAGCCTTTAAAATTTCTTATGAGTTTTGCATGACTAATTAAGTGTTTAAGCAATATTATGGCTTTGGTATCTTGTCAGAACTCAAGGATAAAGGAGTTCAATTTTCATTCATGCTTTCAGACTAGCAGGAAAAAAAAATCAGAATGACTTAATGGGTGAAACAAAAAGATAGATTGCTTACATCTTGCAGCTGTGGCTTTAGGCTTGCATGAAGCTTTTCTTCCTTTAGTTTCAATCAGCAGGGTGTTCTCAGAAATGTAAAACATCCCTTAAAATGCCATAGTGTTTTCAACCCAAACATCATCTCATAATTCATGCTCTCAGAGTTTTGAAATGTTTAGATGAAATGTGTGATGACAGATACTACATTAGAGCATGAAGCATTTTTGTACAAATGCTACTGTTTATACAGTTTAAAATGCTGCTCCATACAGGAACATTGCCTACTTCACGTGAGTGTGATTTTTGATCCAAGCAAACAATTTCGGTGGCAGGGGTGGAGGGTGGGAGATACAGTGTGGCAGATGCACTACCTTTATCTCTTCTTTTACTAAGTTTAAAGCAGATGAAAATATCAGTTAAAAGTTCAGTTTTAACATTGCACACCTGTTACTCAGTTCATGCACCGACAGCAAAGTGTGTAGTTATGTTGCCTCCTTGTCTCCCAGTGATAATGACAACAAAGTGATAGGCTCAGCAAAAACCAGCTAGTCACAAGGGACATAATGACTACTAATAGGAGCTCTGGTAGCATAGTGCCTAAGGCACTTAACTGCTAACCAGAAAGAAGGCTGGCAGTTCAAACCCACCAGCCACTCCTTGGAAGGAAGGTTGGGCAATCTACTTCTGTGGTGATACTGCCTCGGAAACCCAAGGATGGGTCACTATGAGTCGGGTCCGACTCGATGGCACATAACAACAACAACAATATAAATACAACTCACCCATTGTGTGGGAAAAATACGTCCATTTCTTTGCTGTTCTTAAGTCACCTCTCTCACCAATTTCTATTTTTTGGGTTACATATAGAAACAATTTTGGGTTACATTTTGGGTTACATTTTTTGAGGTTACATATAAAAACAAATATGGAGGAAACATTCTCTCTTAATTTTGGCTATTTTGAAATTAACAGTTCCTCAAAAAACATCTTGATTTGACAATAGTCCATGCTGTGCATGTTTCGTCATTCTATTTTCATTGTAAACTTGAACTCTATCATGGCTAAAATACAAAGATTGAATATTTACAATCATCAATCTATAATAGACTCTAATTAACCATTTTGATGTTATTATATTTTCAAAAAATACTGAATCAATATATGATAGTTCATATGAAAATACAAAATAAATTAAAAGATATAAAAATATTAAAATGAAGGTGATGGTTGCACAAAATGACTAATATATTGATTTCACTAAATTGTCCACCTGAAAAATATAGATTTGGCAAATGTCATGCTACATATATTTTTACAAAAATTTCATTGGGGAAAAAATGCCTTGAAAAAAGTTGATGATAAATAGTAGAGTAGTATTTTGTATAAAGGGAGCTCTGGTGGCGTAGTGCCTAAGGCACTTGACTACTAACCAGAAGTTGGCAGTTCAAACCCACAAGCCAGTCCTCTGAAGGAAGATAGGACAATCTACTTCTGTAGTGATATTGCCTTGGAAATCCAAGGAGGGGTTGCTATGAGTCAGAGATGACTTGATGGCACGTTAACAACAACATTTTGTATAAAAGGAATCTATATGGGGTCACATCTTATAAATTTAGTTAATGTGTATTTCCTCTTTGCATTAGAACAAATAAGATTACATGGGCTCAGAGGTGAATCTAATGAAGCTTAAGCTACCTCACTTTACTAACCCCTTCCAAGGTCTTAAAGTACAGGGGTTACACACTCACCAGCTAACCAAAAGGTCTGTGAGTCTAACCCACTAGCTGCCCTGTAGGAGAAAAATGTGGCAGTCTACTCCTGCAAAGAGCACAGCCTTGAAAACCCTATGGGGCAGTTCTACTCTGTCATATAAGGTCACAATGAATCCAAATCAACTTGATGGCAATGGGTTTCTGAGGTCCTGGGAAAGGCCCTAGCCATGTATCCTATTGATCGTATACTCTGTAATATTTGCAAAAGTAAGCTATTTTAACTGCGATTGCTTAAGGCCACCATCTATTTCCACTCTGATATCCCTCAGTCACTCCCTTGTCTATCTGATAGTATTGGAGGGGTCACTGGCATTTTGAGAATCCAACTGATGGGAAGTTGTGATGAGTTTATATTTAGTTTAGAGTAAGTGGGATGTCCGCCACCCATCTGTTTGTCAGGCTGTGATGGCTTGCGTGTTTCTATGATGCTGGAAGTTATCCCACTGGCATTTCAAATACCAGCAAGGTCACCCATGTGGACAAGTTTCAGTGGAGCTTTCAGACAAAGACAGACTAGGAAGAAAGATCTGGATATCTACTTCCAAAAATTAGCCAATGAAAATCCTATGGATCACAACAAAATACTGTCTCCTCTAGTGCTGGAAGATGAGCCCCCAAGGTTAGAACACTTCAAAATACACAGCGGCCACAACAAGGACTCATACCAATTGTGAATGTAGCATAGGACTGGGCAGTGTTTTGTTCTGTTGCACACAGAGTCACTGTAAGTTAGAACCGGCTAGGAGCAACTGGCATTCGGTTGCTAACTAAAGGTTGGCAGGTCGAATCCACCAGGTAGTCCAAGGAAGAAAAATGTGATAGGCTACTTCTGCAAAAATTTACAGCCTAAGAAACCCTATGGGGCAGCTCCATTCTGTCCTATAGAATTGACTTGGAGGCAGTGGATTAGGAGCAACGAAAAACAACAACAAAAACCCAAACCCACTGCCATCCAGTGGATTCTGACTCATAGCGGCCCCCATTGGGTTTCCAAGGCAGTACATCTTTATGGCTGAAAAGGGAACTGAATCTAAAATATGGGAGGTATGAACATCTGAGTACTGTTGAAAAATATTGTGTATCTGTGAAGTAAGTTGTACCCTGTGCCTCAGAGGCAATGAATTCCTTCAGAGAACCAATTTGGGTCTATCTTGTGTCTTGCATTTTGCAGCCTTAGAAATATTTTGCACAATATGAGGCTCAATGTTCTCTCAAGAAGTGATTTACTTTAATTGTTAAGACACCACATTGCTCTAACCCTGCCAAGAGAATAAGGATTCTTTAGTTCTTTTTTGTGATGTTTGTACAATTTCATTATCAGCATCCAATAAAAACCAAACATGTACATATATCTTCTTTATTTATATTTTGTAATATCTGTGTATTTATTTTGTACCAAAAAAAAGACAAAAACCAAACCCACTGTCGATTCCTACTCATAATGACCCCCATTGGGTTTCTGAGGCGGTAAATCTTTATAAAAGTAGAGGGCTTGGTCTTCCTTCTGCAGAGTGGATGGTAGGTTTGAACTGCCAACCTTGTGGTTAGTAGTCAAATGCCTTAGGCACTGCGCCACCAGAACTCCTTTATTCTGTACAGTGTTCATTAAATAAGGGATGGAATTTACATAATTTTTCAGCAGCCAAAATGGTATACAGTGTCCTTATAATGGGTTAAGAACTCATGCTGACAGATGGGTAATATTTCCGTTATGTTCAAGTCTGTCTTAGAAAAATGTTAGGAATTGCCTGTGTTTGTACAAAGTCACTATAGTGTAAAGTCACGAAAGCACTTGAAAAGTATCCTTAAGTGTTTGTATACTGTCACTACTGATGTTTTACTTTGTGTATTGCATGGAGAGAATGTTTTAAACTTGGCCAATTTTCCTTTCGCACAGGATTTCACCAGACAAGCTACATCAACAAGAGATTAAAAAAAAAAAAAAAGCTAAGGATTATAATTTTTATATTAGTCTGTTGTTGTTGTTATGTGCCGTCGAGTCAGCCCTGACTCATAGCGACCTCTCCTTGGGTTTCCGAGGCAGTATCACTACAGAAGTAGGATTGCCCAACCTTCCTTCCGAGGAGTGGCTGGTGGGTTTGAACCGCCAGCCTTCTGGTTAGCAGTCAAGTGCCTTAGCCACTATGCTACCAGAGCTCCCAATATATTAGTCTAAGAAAACATAATTTTGATGTAAATATGAACCAATCTTTCAGTGCTTTAAAGTTTAACATAACTTTTAAAAACAAAAAGTCACATGACATTTCCTAAGATATATTTCTTGAAATACTTCTGTTATTGGTGATAAGTATTATGAAAACAGAGTTCCATTATCAGCACAAATAGGTAACAATGAATTAAACCATTTTTTAGTGAAGTCTTTTTTTTTTTTCTTCTTAAATCTCTCTTTTGTGGCTTTTCTCCATCTTCCTGCTAAGCAGCAAAAGGCATTTTTAGGTTTATATAAACACATTCTTTACAACTGCTTTATTAACAGAAAATTAGTATACAAATAGCACTGGGCATTTAGTAGATAAGTCACAGGCCAGTAAGTTCAATTGTGCAGTTGTGAAATCTATTGTGAAAGAGTTCTTGAAACCTTAAGACTGGGTGATCTGCAATGTTTCCAACATGTCTTCAACTGCCTTAAGAGAGTATTTGGTTTCCTTCTTACTTCGACCTGCAAACTGATAAGCTTTGTTTATTTGACTAGCTGCCCAAGTAGCATATTTCATGTTGTCCTTTTTTGTTTTTGCACTTGCTTTTGGATTCAAAGCGATATGACTTGCAGACATGTAAAGCCCAAATAAAGCTCTCATATTTCTGTTGTTTAGTTTCAATGATTGTGCAAAATACTTTCTTGAAATTTCGAGGTTTTCAAGTCCACTTGGGTATATTTAACTTCAGCATTCTGCTGACAGTATAAGTGGTTATGGGGATCAGTCATCATCAGCTCTTCTAAACAAAAGGCTGCTTTGGCATAGTCACGTTCACTGATATAAAGTTATGCAAGTTCATGCCAAGCTTCTTGGTCTCTAACAAATTGTTCCAGATACTCATTCAGCTCCCAAATGGCCTCCACATTTTTCCCCTGGGCTTTTCGAATGGCTATCTTATGCTGTCTTGCAGCAGTGTTAGTTGGATCTTCTTGTAAAATTCGATCATAAAGCTGTATAGCATCATCATCTCTCTCCATGGCTTCAAATCTCATGCCAGTTAGTCGTTTGACTCTGTGACTGCCAGGAAACTGTCTTGTCAATTCCTGAAGACAAAACAATGCCAGGTCATCTCGACCATAGTCTAGGGCTGCAATCACCACTTGTTCATATATGATCCAAATAGCATCTCCAAGTGTAAAGGCATATTCATTAATTAACCCCTCTCCAACTTCTACAATTTGTTCACTATTTCAGGAGTTTTCTTCTCTCCATTTTCTCATTTTATCTTGCATTTCTGTAAATTTTAAGTTGAATGAAAGGAGCCATTTTGTTTTGTTTTGTTTGTTTTAAATTAGGAGAGTGGTTCCCAACAACCTTCCCAAGTGACATCGTAAAGCTCTTCACTGAACCCAGAGGCAGCCTCACTGAAGCTTGTATCCAAGACTTTCATACAGAAATATGTGTTCTGAGTCTTTAAAAAGGTGATAGAAGAGAATGCAGTATTTCCCAAAATTATATAAGAATGGAAACCTTGCTGGACTAGTATTCCTCAGAACACACTTTGGTAAATGCTGGCAGAGGCAACGGAATTTTTACCAATTGACTAAACAAGAGTCACCCACTAATGCTGGGGTGCTGCCATGTCCTTGGCTAACAAGGAGGAAATGAGAGAATGGGCATAGCAGCCACCCTGTGAGAGGTACGTGGTGATTCCCATTTTGCCCATGATGCACTAAGGCTTTACCCAAGGTTACTCAGTTCATGAATGAAAGATCTGTTTCACAGACAGAGCTGATGCCTGGCTTTGAAACTCTGACTATACTACATTACTTTTCATATAGTAAACATAGTATTCTTACTAATATTTACTGTACTGAATAATCTCTGGTAGTACTTAAGGTATATTTAAAATGAGTTCTTCAATCAGAAGACTAAACAATAAAACATTAGTTTTACTACAGTAATGGCCTAATTAGGAGCTCTGGTAGTGTAGTGCCTAAGGCATCTGACTGCTAACCAGAAAGCTGGTGGTTCAAACCCATCAGCCACTCCTCAGAAGGAAGGTTGGGCAATATACGTCCGTAGTGATACAGCCTCAGAAACCCAGGGAGGGGTCGCTATGAGTAGGGTCTGACTCGATGGCACATAACAACAACAACAACAACAATGGCTTAATTTAAGAGAGGATCATTTTTATCAGAGACTTAAAGAAGGTTTATCCCCATTTTATTAACAATTAGCAATAGGATTTTTTTAAAAAACATGTTATTGAATTTTAGGTCAAAGTTTACACAGTAAATTAGTTTCTCATTCAATAATCCATACACAAATTGTTCCAAGACATTGGTTGTCAGCCTTGCAATGTGTCAGCACTCTCCCTATTTCCATCGATACAGCTTCCCTGCCCCTTCTTGCCTTCTCATCATTGCTTTTGGACAAATGTTGTCTATTTTATCTCACATAGTTGATTATTCTAAGCAGCTCATTCCTCACAGGTATTACTGTTTATTTTACAGATCACACTATTATGTGGCTGAATACTGGCCTCTGGGAGTGACGTCAGTTCCAGGTTAAAAGGCTATCTCAGGATGCTAGTCTCGGGGGTTCTTCCAGTCCAGTAAGTTTGGCCTTTTTTTTTCTTTTTTTTTTTTTTTTAATATGAATTTGAATTTTGTTCTACATTTTTCTCCCATTCTATTCACTGGGATCTTCTATTATGTCCCTGGTGAGAGAGGATGTTAGTGGTAGCCAGGCACCCTCTGGTTCTTCTGGTCTCAGACAACAGGAGGCTGCCGTTCATGTGGGCCATTAGTCCTGTGGATTAATTGCTTCCTTGTGTCTTTGATTTGCTTTGTTCTTCTTTGCTCTAGGTAACCAACAAAGAAAGTTTCCTTCTATATATAGATGTATTGTATTTTTAATATGCTGTTGTATTCTGTTGGCTAGCATTTGGTTGAGAATTTTTGCATCTATATTCATATGGAATATTGTTCTGTAATTTTCTTTTACTTTGTGGTATCTGTGCCTGGCTTTGGTATCAGGTTTATGCTGGCTTCATAGAATGAATTAGAAAGCATTCCTTCCTTCATAAGGATGTAAATTCAGGAACACTTTCATCAAACTTGACATCAACTTTTCTTTGACTGGTAGAATACTCCAGTGAAGCCATATGGACTTGGACTTTTTTTTTTTTTTTTAATGACATCTTCAGTTTCTTCTTTTGTCATTGGTCTATTTAGATTTCTACCTCTTTTTGTGTTAGTTTAGGTAGATAGAATGTTTCTAGAAATTGGCCTTTTTTTTAGATTTTTCAAATTTCTTGGCATTCAAACAGAACAACGGGGTACTGTATGGTTTAAAATCAGGAAGGGAGTGCATCAGAGTTGTATCCTTTCATCAGATTTATTCAATCTATGTTTGTTGTTGTTACGTGCTGTCAAATTGTTTCTGACTCATAGCAACCTCATGTACAACAGAAAGAAACATTGCCTGGTCCTGTGCCAGCCTTGAGATCCCTACTATAAATGAGCCCATCACTGAAGCAACTGTGTCAAGCCATCTCATAGAGGGCCTTCCACTCTTTCATTGACCCTCCACTTTACCTAGCATGACATCCTTGTCAAGATAATGGTCCCTTCTGACCACATGACCAAAGTAGGTGAAATGAAGTCTGGCCATTCTCGCTTCCAAGGAGCATTCCAGTTGCACTTCTTCCAGGACAGGTTTGTTAGTTCTTTTAGCACGATACTTTGAGCCTTTTTTTACCAACACCACAACTCAAAAGGATCAAGTCTTCTTCCGTCTTCCTCATTCATTCCCCAGCTCTCACATGCATAGGAGGTGATTGAAAATATCATGGCTTGGGTTAAGCACATCTTAGTCTTCAAGGAGATATCTTTGGTCTTCAGCACTTGAAAGAGGTCTTTTGCAACAGATTTCCATAATACAATACATCTTTTGATATCTTGGCTGCTGCTTCCATTGGCATTGATTGTAGAACCAAGTAATATGAAGTCTTTGACAACTTCAATCTTTCCTCCATCAATCGTGTTACTGCTTATTGGTCCTGTTGTGAGAATTTTTGTTTTCTTTATAGTGAGATGTAATCCATAACATGGACTATAGTCTTTAATCTTCATCAGTAAGTGCTCCAAGTCATCCTCACTTTCAGCAAGGAAAGTTGTGTTGTCTGCGTACTGCAGGTTGTTAATGAGCCTTCCTCCAAACCTGATGCCACATTCTTCTTCATATAGTCCAGCTTCTCGGATTATATTTGCTCAGCATATAGATTGAATAAGTATGGTGAAAGTATACAACCATGACACATTTCCTTCTTGATATTAAACCATGCAGTGTCCCCTTGTTCTGTTCAAATGACAGCCTCCTGGTCTAAGTGCAGGTTCCTCATGAGTACAATTAAGTGTTCTGGAATTCCTATTCTTCTCAATGTTATCCATAACTTCTTATGATCTACACAATCGAATGCCTTTGCATAGTCAATAAAACACAAGTAAAGATCTTCCTTTGCTTTGAGCCCAGATCCATCTGACATCAGGTATGATATCCCTCACTCCACATTCCCTTCTGAATCCAGCTTGCATTTCTGGAAGTTCTCTGTCAATATACTTCTGTAACCATTTTTGAAATATCTTCAGTAAGATTTTACTTGCATGTGATATTAATGATATTATTTAATAATTTCCACAGTCTGTGGGATCAGCTTTCTTTGGAATGGATACAAATATGGATCTCTTCCAGTCACTTGGCCAGGTAGCTGTCTTCCAAATCTCTTGGCATAGCCAAGTGAGTGCCTCCAGCGCTGCATCTGTTTGTTGAAACATCTCAATGAATATTCCATCAATTCCCAGAGCCTTGTTTTTCACCAATTCCTTCAGCACAGCTTCGACTTCTTCCTTCAGTACCATTGGTTCTTGATCGTATCCCACCTCCTGAAATATATAATCATCTACAAATTCTTTTTGGTATAGTGACTCTGTGTATTCCATCCATCTTCCTTTAATGTTTCCTGCATCATTCAACATATTGCCCATGGAATCTTTCAATATTGCAATTTAAGGCTTAAATTTTTTCTTCAGTTTTTGCAACTTGAGAAATGCCAAGCATGTTCTTCCCTTTTGGTTTTCTAACTCCAAGTCTTTGCACATTATAGTAATTGACTTTGTCTTCCCTAGCTGCTCTTTGAAATCTTCTGATCAGCTCCTTTATCTTGTCGATTCTTCCATTTGCTTTATCTACTCCTCATTCAAGGACAAGTTACATAGTCTCTTCTGACATTTATTTTACTCTTTTCTTCCTTTCCTGTCTTTTTAATGACCTTCTACTTTTTTCATGGATGATGTTCTTGATGTCGTCCCACAATTCCTCTGGCTTTTGGTCATTGGTGTTCAATGTATCAAATCTATTCTTTAGATGGGCTCTAAATTCATGAGGGATATAATCAAGGTCATATTTTGGTTCTCATGGACTTCTTTTACTTGTCCTTAGCTTCATCTTGAACTTGCATATGAGCAGTTGATGGTCTGTTCCACACTCAGCTCCTGGCCTTGTTTGGGCTGAAGAAATTGAGCTTCTCCATTGCCTCTTGCCACAGATGTAGTCAATCTGATTCCTGTGTACTCCATCTGGTGAAGTCTACATGTACAGCTGCCATTTGTGTTGCTGAAAAAAGGTATTTACGATGAATAAGTCATTAGTCTTGCAAAATTCTATTATGGGATCTCCAGCATTATTTCTATCACCAAAGCCATATTTTCCAACTACCAATGATTCTTTTTTTTTATTTTTTATTTATTTTTTTTTT